AAGCCATTGTACATTATTTATAAGTCAAGTTTAACAATCAATCAGACTGGGATATTATTCCACTTTCAATTCAACTCAAACACTAGGTTTCTTTCATGTTGGGCTAATATCAAGTTTTGATTCTTTACTCTTATTCCACGAAATATTAGTAATATTTAAATATTTGTTCCAATGATTTTTGTAGGCATGACGCAAGCTGTAATACCTAGTCTAGTAAAATATGGCATAAAAGCTGTCTCAGTAGGAGTTAACCCATCAACTAGTCCACCAGATGTACCCAATCCTTTCATCTGGCAGTTTGAGGGATCGGAAGTTATTGGATTGTGGCACAAAGGTATTAATTTTTGTTTCCTTCACTACTATACAGAAACCAAGCAGTCGTCATTGACCCATCTTCATACAAATTAACTTTATAAATTTAAAATAAAAAATATTGTCTACTATATCAAAAGAAATTAAGTTATGTTTGAGAAATTGTTCTCCATCGTCTTTATTAAAAGAAAATCAATACGTGTGTTGTCATTTTGAAATGATTTCAATCTTTATAGGTGGTTATCCATTGAATCCAGGGCCCAATCCATCACAACCTGGTGGACTGTCTAGAGAAGACTGTGTAATTGTTGATGGTTTCTCTGAAGCTTTGTGTTTTGCATTTAGAACTGATAACAGCGGTCCACCAACAGATATAAAGGTAAAACAATTCCAAACATTGACTAGTAAGGTTGACAGGAAGTCACAACCACAAATAAGCCTATATGGCTTGGTGAATTCAGGAAATGTGAAACTTTACCAAAATTCCATTTTCGTACATTTCGAAAGTAGGTTCATGTGATTTACTTTACGATTTAACCGACTGCTGATGTTTATTAGCGAAATGCATTACATTTTCAGGAAATCCAGTCAAATTTTGCCATACTGAGAAGTGAATTCCCTGGTGCTGATGTAGTGGCCTCTACATTTGATGACTATATCAAATCATTATCTACAGTGAAAAATAAATTACCAGTAATAACCAGTGAAGTTGGAGATACTTGGATTCAAGGCATATCGTCAGACCCAAAGAAAATGGCCAAATATAGAAGTTTTAGTCAGACATTACAAGAATGTTTTCAAAGATGTAGGACTACAAATTTCCTTCTTATCTCTAATAAAGAACTGTTTTCGAGTGTAATACATTGTACCCATTTTCAGTTCTGAATGTTCCAAGGCGTTGACTTGATGGCAGTTTATATGACCCTTGATTCTTAAGGACTGAGGATGATTGTACCCTAACGTTTTCAAGCCCTCTGATTAAAGTTTGTAGTGCTGACAGTCACATTTAAAGAATAATTTCGTTCTTTTTTTATCAATATATCTTCATTTGCATTATTCAATACTCTTTATAATTTTAGCTCAATGTAAAATGGAGGATGAAAGAATATTTAATGCTATCAGATTTCTAATCAAACCACCAGAACATACTTGGGGTTTACCAACAGTAGGTGATACAACTAACTGGTCCAATGCAGATTTTGACAAGGTTAAAACTGGTAAGCTAATTATTTATGCATTTTTGTGTCCTAGAACATAATTTTGTCATACCCATAACCATATAATTTAACCAATTGGAACAGGACGGATAACTTCTGTGGTTGCGACTTTTATTCAGAAAATGCAAATTTGAATATTCTTTTATGGATTTTTTTTGTAGTTTCATTAAGACGCTTTAATATATTTGTAGAATCATCATTTGTCAACTGCAGTCAAGCCTGGACTGAACAAAGATCGTTTATAGATTTAGCATTAAAAGCTTTACAAGATCATCCATGGGCACCTCGTGTTGTATATGGTTTCTCGGATCTTCAACCTTATCATTATGATTTGAGACGTTAGTATTGTAATTTTAGTTAAGTAATGTAATGATATATACAGCATAATACCTTGACGATGATCATTTGCCCTTAGATGAACCTGTGGAAAGATTGTTTCTTATTGATTCATATAGCAAACAATGGTACTTTGTTTTAGTATTCTCTGTGGTATGGAATCATTCCGGAATGACCTCATTGAAATCTTCTTCTGATGTTGTTTATACAAACGTGTAATAATATCACCAATATAGCGTAGAAATCAAACAATGAAAACCACATTTTCTACAAAATCCTTCAAAACATGTTAAAACAGGAAATGTCATTTCAAGACAATGGGAAGTTTTAGTTATAATAGGATGGTAATGACCTTTCTGAAGAGAGATACGAACTTAGATGACCTGTCTGACAATATAACAATCCAGATAAGTGTTTAAGTTCGCATCTGGGATATCAAATCAGATTTGTCGTGCCATTATTGATATCCTCCTAAAACTGATTTTCATACCGACCAATGAACACGCTTGCACGTGTCATTTTTACGTTTTGATTTGTAAATGAAATGAAAGATGAAATGAATGGAGTTTTACGTCCTACTTTTCTGGACCATGTTGGTTAATGAATAATAGTAACTTTGATTGGTTAAATTCACCGAATCATACGCAGGTTAAAATTTACCAACCACGGTATCCTACCCTTCTTCAGTTGATTTTCAAAGCCTTGTGTCACATTTCACCAAACATAGACGACGAGGCTGCTTTGTTAATTGTATAATATGATATATTTTTTTAATTCCGTTTAAAAGATTAGTTATTGATTCACAATGCTTTTGTTGAATGTTATTCTAGAATATACGGTTGTTGCTGATATAAGTCAAGTATTTGCTTGTGAAGATGGTATACGAATATCATTTGATCAACAAGGATTCATCAATAAATTAACTGATCCATACAACAAGGTACGAGCAAACTTAAGATCAAAATTTTATAATTTTTTTTAAAAATTGTGTCCTAATAATACGAGCCTATGAATTATTCTAGCCAGACGCTGAATTTTCAATATACAGTCTAGTAACCTAATTTCGTGCATCTCCGTAAAGAACTCACCCGTATGCGCGACCACGCATGACCTCCGAAATTGAATGTTTTCATAAACATGGGTTACTCTACAAAGTCAACCTGTAGAATTTTTCCTATCGTTTCAAAGCAATGCCAACTTTATTATCTATTTCTAACATAATTATACAAAATGGCGGGTTTCAGTTATTACATTACAAATTTTTAACGACCAAATTTCCTTACAATCATCCCCAGCTGTACTCGGAATTCCAAGTGTTGTCTTCTAGAATATATTCCAGTGAACAAGGTCACGTGACAAACAAGCGGATTCCATATCAGCAGAAAAATTCTATGAAACACAATGTGGGCCGTATTCTTATGTAGTTTCAATGAATTTTAGCAATAAGTTACTCTTACGTTTTACTTATCTTATTTTGTCAGTCACTATTTATTGATAATAATGATAAATACTAAGAAATTATCATTATACCATTGGGAATCCATACAACGTGTTTTTCTCGACGTATTTATAGATCGAACATTGTAGGCCTACACGAAAATGGGTTACGCATTTTGCAGCCGTTGTCGAGTTGGTTACTCATAAAAATGGGTTAGGATGAGGGATTCATAGAGAAAGTCGAAACCAACCAATTTTAATTATTTTATAGAATATCTGAAGAAACCTCTTAAACATAAAAAAAATCGTTTTTGAAGAAATTGGGTGTTGAATCCTTATATGCACGAATATAGGTTATGTGCATATAAATGTTGGCTTAAAATATTTATGTATTTGAAATTGGCATAAAAAATTCGACGACTTTTTCTTTTATGGCCATTTCTTTGCGGGAAAATCTTACGTTGTAAGAAATAATAACCAGAGCAGCATCTAAAGGTACATTCTGATCTGTCTACAGTTGAACGAGCACACGTGTATTTCTGGGAACATAAGATATTACCTATTAGTATCCATATTCTTTTTTTTATAAATTAAGATCGAATGGGCAAGTAATGAAAATCCAATTGGCGAGTTTTTATACAACACCTATAATAATACAGATTTTCAAGCTATGGATGACCAATATGCATACTCCGGAAATCCAGGATTCTATAAACAAAACTTAACAGAAAATTTTGATGCCAAATCTCAAGTTTGGCCTGTGAAACTTGTTACACTTTATAAAAATATCAGTAAGTTTTAGAAAGTCATTTTATTTGATCAATTACAAACGCCGAGAGCAGTTAAATTATGCTTATATTGAAACATTAGCCTTAATGAATATAGATTCTTAAATTAAACTCCGTTTCATTAACATTCTTTATTCTATAATAGTGCCACGGCGGAAGTGTGATTTCCTTTTAAAGCTGGCATTAAATGATAAAACGGCAACTACATTGTATGGAGCACCGGAAGAAATCCTGATACAATATACAACACGTGGAATAGATCCAGATGTAGATGGATATCCTGGAGGTAATATAGTTCCGGATCACCGGAATCAATGAATAGTTTGCCTTATAAGGGAAGTTGTTTTTAAACGATATCGATTTTGATTTCAAATAGCCAAATTACACCTACCTTTCAATTTGTACCTATCTTTGATAACAGTGCATGGATATTTAATCTAAAATAAAATCTACCGCATGGTTCTTCATAAATGCCACTGTCGAATTCCATATTATTGTATAATAATATTATGAATTCATAATATAAAACAGGTGTAGATATAATTGTACAATGGTTTAATAAAAGATCTACCAGATTACCAGAATCCTTATCATACAGTATAAAACCTTCTCTTCAATCAAACCTGTCTTGGAAAATGTCGAAAATCGGGCATCTTATAGATCCAGGAATGGTTGTTTCAAATGGTAGCCAGTATATACATGGTAAGTCCTTGATCTTATTCTTGAGCATATTCCATGTTGCTGTAATTTATTTTCATTTCATTAACATTATCTACAGCTATAAATATACAGATAATATTTCTCATAGTACATTATGAGGTATATTATATTGATAACGGCAATGAAATAATATCTACATACATGTATTTCTAGCTATAGATAATGACAGTGAAATGATATCTATATATTTCTAGCTATAGATAATAACAGTGAAATAATATCTATATATTTCTAGCTGTAGATAATAACAGTGAAATAATATCTATATATTTCTAGCTATAGATAATAACAGTGAAATAATATCTATATATTTCTAGCTATAGATAATAACAGTGAAATAATATCTATATATTTCTAGCTATAGATAATAACAGTGAAATAATATCTATATATTTCTAGCTATAGATAATAACAGTGAAATAATATCTATATATTTCTAGCTATAGATAATAATAGTGAAATAATATCTATATATTTCTAGCTATAGATAATAACAGTGAAATAATATCTATATATTTCTAGCTATAGATAATAACAGTGAAATAATATCTATATATTTCTAGCTGTAGATAATTACAGTGAAATAGCATCTATATATTTCTAGCTATAGATAATAACAGTGAAATAATATCTATATATTTCTAGCTATAGATAATAACAGTGAAATAGTATCTATATATTTCTAGCTATAGATAATAACAGTGAAATAATATCTATATATTTCTAGCTATAGATAATAACAGTGAAATAATATCTATATATTTCTAGCTATAGATAATAACAGTGAAATAATATCTATATATTTCTAGCTATAGATAATAACAGTGAAATAATATCTATATATTTCTAGCTGTAGATAATAACAGTGAAATAATATCTATATATTTCTAGCTATAGATAATGACAGTGAAATAGTATCTATATATTTCTAGCTCTAGATAATAACAGTGAAATAATATCTATATATTTCTAGCTATAGATAATAACAGTGAAATAATATCTATATATTTTTAGCTATAGCGATTTAATATCTAAATGTATATATTTCTAGCTGTAGACAATGACAGCAGAATAACATCTAAATATTTTAGCTGCAGATAGATTGTAGATAATGACAGTGAAATAATATCTATATATTTCTAGCTATAGATAATAACAGTGAAATAATATCTATATATTTCTAGCTATAGATAATAACAGTGAAATAGTATCTATATATTTCTAGCTATAGATAATGACAGTGAAATAATATCTATATATTTCTAGCTCTAGATAATAACAGTGAAATATTATCTATATATTTCTAGCTATAGATAATGACAGTGAAATAATATCTATATATTTCTAGCTATAGATAATAACAGTGAAATAATATCTATATATTTCTAGCTATAGATAATAACAGTGAAATAATATCTATATATTTCTAGCTATAG